ATAGTGAGAGAAAAAAATGAGGAGAGAGGGGAAAACATGAGTTAGTTACTAAAATCCACAGCTAGTTTATTTTACTAAAGCTGATGATAGATTGGGAGTTGTGGAACCGCAAATGGACCGGACACATGGAGCAGATAAAAACACAGCGTCATCATCCCCACAGATTTTAGGTTAGTTTGATTATTAACTTGATAGATGTATAGTGCTTTTTGTGTTTGAACAAACTCTATAGGGCTAGTATATTCACTTATGGGTTGAGACATTCATTTTGCGCGTCATGATGTAAGCTTTTCATTTAAACTTATTTTAAGCATTATGGTTTAAAACTAATTTAACTGTTCAGGGACATTAAGCAGTGGGGCAGAATTCATTTTGCCAAATGCGCGCGTTAAGACGGTTTCTAATATGCGCGGAGCGCACATGATCGTACAGCGCCTGACTGGAGTTATTTTTCATGCCTTGTGTTTAAACATTCGAGCACACATAGTTATGTGTCAAAATGCCTGTCTCCGACCTCGTCAACACAGTTATTTGTGTCTTAAATTAACGTTAATAGTTAAAGATAAAGCATGTGCACTAGTTGTTGAAGAGTTCAGATGCAAAAGCCTCTAAGTGCCATTTGAAATTTAGAAAAATTTGAATTTTTATCAGGCTTCTTTGTGCAGGTTCAGTAATTTCACTTTAATGGCAATGAATAGGTTCTTTCCATTGCCATTTAAGTGAAATAACTGAACATAAACATAGGAGCCTGAGAAAAATGCTCATTTTAGAAGAAAATTTCAAATGGCACTTAGAAGCTTTTGCATCTAAACTCTTCATATGAAGTAGTAATCAATTTAAACTATTTGAAAATAATATTTAACCCAGCCAATGGGTTGATTCATTTATATATATGAGTGTGTGTGTGTGTGTGTGTGTGTTTATATGTTGCAATTATATTCTATGTCTTTTTTATATGGTTAAAAAAATACGCCTTCATAAAAGGTACAAAGTGCCCTTAAAATCAATTTCAGTGGGCAAATACTGCTCATATAAAATTTAAATTTTGACACTGCTTTGAACAAACCCATTATTCAGATGAGGATAGAAAATTCAAACGGCATTTCTGAAGGGGGCTGTAACAGTGTGAATTCAGAATCTCCTATCCCATTCATGAGCCGCAATTTGAACTGATAGGGTCTTTTTTTTAAATAATACATGTAAACAATCTACATTAAATATGCATTCCTATACTGTAGGTGGCATTTCAAACATTAATTACTAATATCATTTAACATTTCTATGTGAACATAATGAACTATGTTGACATGTTTATGGATAATTCATTCTGAAACCTCATTCCATTTTAATCCTTATATTTAAATTTGAATTTGAATTATGTATTTGTTTTGTTACTTCAGTTCCAATCCGATTCACATTCAGGAATTTAAAAGTCATTCTAAATTCAATTATGAATGGCGCTCAACCCTGCCACCCACGTACAGTCCCATAGATGGATCCCTTTTCAGGCAGACAGACAGACGGCTCCCACTCTCTTCTCCTGCTGGATCATTGAGAGAGACCAGCCACTGACCAGGCGAACATGAATGAAAGACTTTTCACTCTGAGCAAACACAGCAACAGAGCAGCAGTGACATTTATGCACACACACACACACACACACACACTCATCACACACAAAACCAACAACAAACTCAGGCGCTACGCATAACACATCATCACACACAACCCTTATGTGCAACAAACACTAAAAGAGGAGAATTCAGGGAAAATAGTTGGAGGAAAAAAGGGCAAAAACCTGCTTTATGTCTCTCTCTTTTCTCTCCTTGACTCCCGGAGAGCGAGAGAGACATGCCTTCCAAAAAGGAGCAAAGTAAACTTTCAAGAAGAAAGCAGCAAGAACTCAACACGTGGGAGAGAAAGGAGACGCAATGTTATTTATATATTTCTGTTTATCTGTTTTCCTGTCATTTATTCAGAATGCAGCATTTGAAACACCCCCTAGGATGAGAACGAGAGGAGAGGAAAAGGAGATGGCAGTGGCACAGCTGCAGAAATTGTTCGGGGACTCGTGATAACTAGAGAAAATATGCAATATAGAGACAAATGGTGAGGTTATAATACATTTTTCTCAGGCCTTTTTCATCCCATCACATTTCATCTTAGATGGAGTGATCCATGATGTAGAAAAATGACTGCAGAACTGATCTAATATGTGTCTGATTTTACCTCACATCATTGACTATTACTGATGATATAATATCTGTTGGCTAGCTGATCTCTCTCTCTTGCTCTTTGTCACTGCGTAGGTTTAATTTGTGGAAATTAAAGGACACATAGCAAGGCGCAGATGGGAGCTGTTTTGTCCTGAAGCATATTTTCCCCCCGGCTTACCATCACCCTGGACCACATGACACAAAGCCACTGATTTACTGCATCCAGATTTACCTGAACTTGACATCCTTTTTTTCTCACAAAAAAAATAAAAAAAAATAAAAAATACAGACAAATCGCATAAACTAAGCCAGACATCTCCTCTAGAGACAAACGTCACTAGTGAGAGCTAACAGTACAGAAATCTTTGACACTAATATTTTAATATTTTCTATATTTTCAAATACTTCAATATCAAAAAAACGTTCCTAAATACTCACAAGTGGAGCTTAACAACACTTAAAGCTAGGGATATTAATCAGCTGAATTGTGATTAACAGTAAGTTTTGATCCTTTTTTTAAGGAAAAACAATAATTTTGGACAGCAGTAGATTTATACAACAGTGCTCTGTTGTAGTTGATTAACCACATTTTATGCGAGTTGGAATTTAATTGAGAATGCATTTTAAATTACAATTCAGTTCTTGAATCTGAATGCTTGAAAGTACCAAAAGTGAACCAGAAATCAATTCAACTACTAAAAAAAAAAATGTAGTTCAAAATATTAAAACAAACCTTTAATGTTGGACCGACACAGTCAAACATCAAAATATTTTCGGGGAAAAACGTTTTAAAAGACTTGATGTTTGATGGTTTATAGGCTAGCTAAACAGAGCAACAGAATAACAAACAGAACGAAAGACAGATAGATAGATAGATAGATAGATAGCCCTACTTAAAATGTTTCCAAAACACTGCAGGATTGAATATAAATGCTATAAACACTAGGACCTCTGGTGTCAACACCGTGTCTCTAATGCTTCACCACAAGCCAGCTTCATCTCAGTTGTTTATTACAATGCTGTCTTATGCCTGTAGAACTGCTGCGCTGTTGACAGAGTAGTTTCTATCGTTCTTTGATTTTTCTCAAGGGTAACCCAAACACAACAGGCACGCTGTGCCAGGTGTGGCTCGAGCACACTTACGATGTTCATAAGAGTGAGAAGGTACTTCTCCACTTTCTGCTGCCCGTGAAACTGCACCACGGAGTCGTCCACTCCCAGCAAAACCTCAATGTTGTAGATTCGTTCCGGCAGCTGTCTGCGGGCTCGTCGGCTCTGGTTAATACTGCGTTCAACACCCTGATACAGAGTCTCAAGGTCCAACAGTCCGCCCAAATCAGCACCTATGAAGAAACATAGTGTAAACTGATCAATCATTACAGCAATGCACAGAAATTGGTACTTCCTTTTTTCTTTTGAGTGGCATATTGTTAAAGACATGAAAGGAAGAAACCTATCAAACCACTAGCCACTATATGTGGTGTCATGGGGTAATTTCCTCTCCAGGCGGATCGATGGAACATGGAGGAGAGAACACATTGAGGAAGATCTATCACCTTGTCTCCATCACCCAATCAGCTGGGGGCATCTTCCATGCTCCAATTATGTAACGTTTCCTAGGCAACCTGCTCATGGGTAAACCAACGCTCGGTGCAGACTATTATTAGCTCACCAGTCACTTTCTTATTGGATGATAATCCAAGAGTAAGAACAATATTCATCATCTTAATGCTGAGAGTCAGTAACATATTATTACAGGGCTACAGAGGCAAGAAGACAAGCAGAGAAAATTTCCAATAAACCAAAACGTTTATTTTTTTTTTTTCATTTGTGTTGGTGTTTATTATCATGAAGGATTTTGTAGGGTTGTAAACTTCCTCTCACCAGCAGGTGTTCATAATATCACAGCCTGTGTCAGCAGATTTCCACACAAAACTGGAAGAAAGCTTCTACAGTACAACAAAAGCAATTAACATGCTCTTGGCTCATGTCTTTTATTATGCACAGTATTCTGTATAAACATAAGAATTTTTGTGGTAACACTTTATTTTAAGGACAAATTCTCACGATTAACTAGTTGATTATTAGCATGCATATTACTAGCACATGTATTTATTAGGTACATATTAATGCCTTATTCTGCATGACCATTTAGATCTCTTAATCCTATACCCCATACCTATCTAACTATTCTTAGTTAATAGCGAATAATAGTATCAATTTTGTAGCAATACCTGCACCAGGCTGATATTATAGGATACACTTTTCAAGGCTGATGATGATCTGAGGGTCACCTCAGAACCTGTTAACACCAGTTCAGAAGCTAATAAAAAAAAGTGTTAAATATTTGCATTTTTTATTTACCAAATCTACTCAAACTGAGTCTACACATTATTGTTTAAAAGTAAGTTTTTTAAAAATATTTTTTTAATGCAAGGGATGCATTAAACTGATCAAAAGTGACAGTAAATGCATTTATAATGTTCAAGCAATTCAGCATATTAGAATGATTTCTGAGGGATCATGTGACACTGCAGACTGGAGTAATGATGCTGAAAATTCAGCTTTGCCATCACAGGAATAATTTACATTTTCAAATAAATATATATATAAAAAAAGTTATTTTAAATTGTGATAATATTTCACACTATTACTATTTTACTGTATTTTTTATCAAATAAATAGCAACATAATGCACATAAATGCAACATAAATAAATATTCAATGAAAAACATGCCTTTTTATATCCATTATCATGGAAAAATAGTTTATTTGGGAAAAGAAACAATACAGTTTTCCTTAAGGGAGATTTCCCCTGTTCTACCCTACTGTGACAACTAACCTCCTTCTATGACATTTGCCTTTTTCTGCTATTCTGTGATCCTCCAAAACTTGACCCATCACCCTGCCTGTCAAATACACCCAGCTCCGTACTGATCTCACAAGAGAACATTCACATTCAGGCTGAGGAGTCCTCGCCCTTATCAGGACACAAAGCTACTTTGTCTTTCAACCTTTGCAAATGTCAAGAGAACCTTATGAGTGAGAGAAAGATGGAAGAAACGCAGGAACGAGAGAGGGGAAGGTGCTCAGAACATTTGAAAAGATTGATATCATGAACTGCAGTTGTGATGTAAGTACTGAACTCACAGTAGGTCATTTCACTTGGTTTCTAACATCTCAAACTATCACATGCTCATCTCCATGAGTGACAGATTTATGGGTCGTCGGGCCGCCAAACTGCAGAACGAGAGTTTGGTGTATCTAAACGTGTCCGCTGACACATGCACATAGAAATATGCATACACAGCCAAGCACAAACAAGTTTTTTATCGAGGTAAAAGTGTTGCAAGAACTTGTAGATCTTAATCTGAGAGCATGTACGATACTGACAGGCCAATGTGTAAACTTATAAAGTGAAAATTTGAATGGTATTACTTTCATTTGCAGAAAATAATTCCAAACCTGCACTGCAAAAAAAAAAAAAAATGTAAATGTAAATGAAAATGTATTGATAGTTTTCGGATATTTCCATTAACCCTAAAACAATGCAATGAACTGGAAAAATCAACATACAGGAAATAAAATAAAATTCCTTCATATTAAAACAGTACATTGTGCCCTGTTTTTACCTTCTTTTTTTTTTTTACAGTGTGTGTTCTGAAGTTGCACACAAATGATCACAATATAGCCAAATACAGTATAAATATAGGTCCACATAGTGTAATAAATCTAGTCAAAATATTAAATACAAAGAGTTTAAAATATTCAATACAGTATAATAAAATGAGTTTAAAAATATAAAATAACAAATAATAAAAGTAGTCTGATTTATTAAATACAAAATAGTCTAGTATCCAAAAATATTCAATTACATACAATAATAAATAGTCAAAAATATTAAATACAAAAGTCAAAATAGTATAACAAATCTAGTCAGAAACAAAAAAAAAAAACAGTCAGAATCATAGAACAGTCAAATAGAATTTAAATTGATTAAATACAAAATGGTGAAATAACATAAAAAATAAATAGTTATTTTATTCTGATATAGTAAAAAAAAAAAAAGACAAACTTACTTGAATACATATTTAGTTTTGTACTTAAATTGATTTACAACCGCAAGTTTGCATTTACAAACTCTTAAATCTTGAATCTTTATGTCTTGACTTCCAAAACAACTTTTGCAATTAGGCCTGTGGCAGAACTCACGTTCACTCAAAAAGTCCAAATGCAAATGAGCAGCACTGGGCTGGAATGGGTTGTAAGGAGGCAATGAAACCTTGCACAATCACAAAAGCTGGAACAATTGATCCCTGACCAATCAAAACAGACATTACAATATGACGATGACACAAATCAGCATCAGCACAGCATAATCAGCTATATATAAACTGTAGCTTGACTCTCCATATGATGATTCCACATGATAAAATGATTCTCCATAAACATCAACAGAAACAGGAATGTGGCCCCTCTAAATGACCTCTAGGTCACTGCACATGTGACCTCTAAAGATGTGAGTTTTTCCAGCACAGAATATTGTCCCATATGTAGCAAAAGTATAATAATGTTCTGTAGACGATCTGCGTGCAAACAGCTTGCACATTGGCTGTGCGCCGATGATGTCAGACAGTGTTTTTAATTAAAGTGTGAGAAAGTGTGTACATGCAGCAGATGTACAAGCGAGCCTTTCTGTGTTCTTGAGGAAGGGTATCTCAACCTTAGGGAAATCTGATCCAGCTACACACATTTTCTAACAGCCAGTGCTCAACTAATGCTCTTTCTGCCTTTTAATCTTTAATGGTGTGTTGTAAAAGCCAAGATCAAATTAAGCCTTTAGGACCAGGCCACTGAGAGCTGGTAATGATATCAGTAACTAAATCATCTCCAGCAGTAATAAAGTATGCCATTTGATTAAGCTCTATATTAATGCCAACAATGCACTAATGTTTACTATGTGGTAAGTAAACTGGCAATGTTACTGTAGAATAGAGGTCAGCACCTTTTTTTAATCTATAATGGTAATCATAGTGTCATTTCACCCTCCCCCAAGTAATATAATAATATAATATAATACAATATATTAATAATAATCTTTGCACATTTATCACTGTATTCCTATTCAGCATTCTCATACAATTTTTTTTTTCTGGCCAAAATATATTGTAAACATATGCTAAATATATGTTGCAAAAAGTAAAGCTCAAATAAATACATTTTTGAAATATATATATATTTTTTATATATTCAACCATATACCAAAATGTATTTCAAAATGTTTTGGGGGGAAGGAAAATACATTTCTAATCTTACAGTAGCTTAAATTTAGACTAATGCAAATGTAACAGCCTACTAAAGAAAACTAGAACTAAAGAAATAATGATTTAATAAAGTTTCATTGTTATATTATATTGTAATGTTGTTGTTTTTTCAAGCCGAGTTTTTTATTCAAATGTGACTTATGTGAATGTATTTTCTTGGTTTGAAATATATGGACAAGATGTAAAATATATTTATGTTTTAATATATTTTAAATGGAAAAAATTGCCAAAAATATATATTGGCAGAAATATATTTATGTAAATACATCTCAAAACATATTTTAGGAATATATATTTAAAAATATATATTTTTTACCGCATGGGTTATGACGATCTCACGAAATTGCACCTATATATATATATATATAT